CGCTCCCACCCAGCTTGGTGTCATCTGCAAAGTTGGTGAGGGTTTTGGGCTCCTTCCCAGTACGAGAAAGACACTGAGGTGCTGGAACATGTCCAGAGAAGAACAATGAAGCAGGTGAAGGGACTGGAGAACATGTTTGATGAGGAGCAGCTGAGACAACTATGTTTATTTAGTTTGGAGAAAAGGAGCCTGAGAGGAGACCTCATTGCTCTCTACAACTACCTAAAAAGAGGTTGTGGTGACACAGGTGTTGATCTCTTTTTCCAAGCACGAAGTGAGTGTATGAGAGGAAATGACCTCAAGTTGCACCAGGGAAAGTTTAGATTGGATATTAGGAAGAATTTCTTTACTGAAAGGGTGGTGAAGCATTGGTTCACCACGACAGTGAACAGATTGTCCAGGGCAGTGGTGGAGTCACCATCACTGGAGATATTTAAAAGACGTTGGATAGTAGGAAAAACTTCTTCCCCGAAAGGGTGGTGAAGCATTGGAATGGGTTGCCAAAGGCGGTGGTGGAGTCACCATCCCTGGACATGTTTAAACAATGGTTGGGTGTGGCACTTCAGGAGATGGTTTAGTGTTATGGTGGTGTAGGCATGTAGGTTGGACTTGATCTTAAGGTCCTTTACAACCTTGATGTTTCTATGATTCTATGACATGTAGATGTGGTGCTTAGTGACATGATTTAGTGGTGGCCTTCACAGTGCTAGGTTAATGTTTGGACTTGATGACTTTAAAGGTCTTTTTCAACCTAGATGATTCTGTGATTCTATCATTTAATCTTTATTTAAAAGAAAAATTTTGGTTAAGTGCTGTTACTGTGGTAGAACTAATACACAACAGGTCAACATTCATATTTTTGAAATTGTACCTGATGTATGTGAGACACAATTTATCTTAATACATGAAATAAAGAGAATCATGAAACGTCTTGTGTCATGTAGCATGAAACAGCTTTTCCGCATGAAATTCACAGAAGCAGTACTCCTGTTAGCTGATTGTATATGGTGTGTGTATGTATATGATAACAAAAATGGTAGTATGTAGGAGTTCCTCAGATTTCTTCATGGCTTTTCTAAGTAAAGTAATGGTTCTATTTTAAGATAGCTGTCACCTGCAGAGATAATTAATTTATTCTAATATTCAAAAAAAGTAGTAGAGGCCAAAGTGAACTTCTTTGGTCTGGTTGCATGTAATGGAATTTTCTCCTATTTTTATGGTAGTTTTTTAAAATTTATATTCTCTCATTTGTGGAATAAAGACCGGTAATCTTAAATTTCTCCTGCACACTTCATCTTGCAAGTTTCTGGGATTCTTCCAAAGAGCATTCTGACCTCAGGAAATCTTAACATCACTGCAAACATCATCATATGTGTGTTCAACAAATTAATTCGTATTTACAATCTAACCGTGTAATTGAGCCCCACATGGTCTGAAAACAACTTTTTTACAAGCAAACCTTTTGCTTCAAGATAACCATATGTAATGTTCACAACAATTAGCTCTGGCAGCTTTCCTTTGTAATTTATTTACAAATTATCAGATTTCCAGGTGTTTACCATGTCTTCAAAGTAAGATTGCTACTTCTGCTACAAACTAAACAACATTGCCCTCCTCACCCTAAAAATATACATCTAAAATCTACTTCCTTTTCATAAATACATTAAAATTGTTATTCCTGAATAGAATTTCCTGTTCACTATTTTCACTGGGGAACAATGCTAGATTTCATAGACTGGCCTTGACTGGAAGGGACCTTAGAGATCATTTTAATCCAGCCTCCCTATCACCAGGGACACCACCTGTCGACTAGATCAGGCAACACATGGGGACCAAATGGGAATCAAACCTGCAACTTTGGCACTGTTAGCACCACGCTCAACTGACTGAGCTAACCGGCCCCCTAGATTGGAAGAATGTTTTATCAGTTTGAGTCTTCTGGTTTTCGAAGGGGATTGGTTTTGCTTTTATAAACCTGATATTCTGATTTTAAGAGAATGTACTTAACCATCTGCTATTTTCTGCCTCCTCTGTAAAAGGGCATGAATACTAAGTTTCTCTCTGCTGCAGTACTCACCAGTCATTAGCCTTTCAGCTGTGTAATATCTAGAGTAGCAGGAGAGTGACAAGAGCTGCAAAACCAGTTAGTTACTGAGGGTGGTACCCTTTGCCTTGCTGGTTGTCTCCTGCACACAGAGTCCCAGGCAGCTCTACAGGAGAGAAACAGGCTCCTTGTCTGGAACGCCTTTGCTATAAACCAAGCATTTTGCAGGATGTGCATGACTGATGTCAGGACATGCAAAGTGTTAACGATACAGAGCCTGTTCCTCACTGGTACTGGTTCAGAGGTAGGAGTAGGACAAGCAGTTGCTTACTCAACTGAAAGCTTCCAACATAAATCTCCCTTAGTTTTGTATACATGGTTTGTGTGCAGTGACTTAATACGCCACAGTCATTCCTCTTTTGCATGAGCATGGTCAAATGAAACAGTGATCCACGTTTATTCATTGACATGAGTATGCTTCTGTTGGAAATCATTCACAGCCTTGTCCAGGTGACACTTGTGTCCTTAATTAGGCTTTCCTTTGTGTATTGAACATGGTGGTTAGACTTTTGTAAGAACTGTTGCTTTCTGGTTTTTGTAGCTGTGTATACAGTGAAGATTCAGCCCTTCTTAGTGAGATTTTAATGATCCTTTTTGGTTGCTACAGCAGGTGTGAGAATAAAGATGAGAAAAGCAGAAATCTTGCTTTTGAAGGAATGGCAAAATGGAGATAAAGTGAAGGGGTACTTATTCTTTCCTCAGACCCACAAGGCAGTGCTTGGAGAGAAGGAAAGGGATAGTGGCATTTGAATTGCAGGAGGAAGGAGTGAAAACGAGAACTGAATATTTATGCTATATGGCCAGGCAGGGTAAAGGAGCCACCGTTATGGTGCTTTCAGAAAGCAGATGTCTTTCATGACAGAAATCACTTAATATAAAACACACATTTGCAGAACTCTCTTCCCTGCCCCCTTCTTTCCCACATATTCAGATGCACATCATTAATTTTATAGTTCAGAGTGAGCAAGAATGTGAGATGGATGGCACAACAGAACATAAATATTAAAGGTAAGTATGCTGGGAAATGAGAGACTACCTCCCCACCTGTATACTCCTTCCAGTTTATCTCCTCTCTGTGGTTTCAGTGGACACAGTAGGAGCTCCTTTCTCACTAGGACAGCGTGATGCTGTGCATGCTGGTTGTATTCCAGCTTCCAGCTGGAGCAAGTTAGCAGCCAGCATATGTGCGTCATGCCTTTTTTAGGAGCCTGCGTATCTCTGCTGGATGGGGCAGGGAAGTGCCTAGCCTTCTGAAGCAATGCTTCTTTATGGTGGATACAAATGTGTCCAATAGTTGTACGCAAGTGGGAACTAGAGCACATATGCAGAGGAGGACATTTTTCCCAAATTTAAGAATTTTCCCTTATGTGTACACAGGCAGGTCAGCTTGGATTCTAGGCTCAAAGAGGAAGCATTTTAGTCTAATTGGTTTGCCTTGTAACTGTAGTTTGGAAGCACAGCATAAGATTTTTTTCCTTTTGTATCTATACATTTTCCACAAATACTTTCCAGGCAGAGGTGTTGCAGTGACCAGACTGAAGCTCTTTAGAAAAATAGTGGCCACAGTGTCTTTTTGTTCTTTGAAAAACAGACCCTAGATACTGGCCTTTTGTTTCACTGTGCTATGTTTTGATGCCTTGGATATTTTTATGCTTGTATATGCAGTTCAGCTGTTAAGCTAGCAACTGCTAGCTGAGATGGATGCTGTGGAAGTTTGTATTTATTGTACGTTACGAGGCAGGTGGAAATGTTTAAAAATAACCTCTCATTCTGTTCCCTACTGGGATATTTTTGTTGGCCATGTTAGAAGCTTGTCATCTGATTCATTGAGAGTGACTTGTGTTAGTCTCTTAAAACTCAGTGGGAACTCAATAAAAGGTCAAAGCTGGTATGGGTAGAGCCGTTACAAGACTTTGAGAAGAGGAATTAATAGTCAAAATGGTGAAATGTCTTGTGAAAATCCAAACCAAGAGAAGCATTCATTTGCGGATGGTTAACCACTGCAACAAGGAAGTGTGCATTCGATTGCTGCGGCATGGCTCCAAGATCACAGCCAGAAGGGCTGGTAAATTCATAATTATTTTGCTAAAACCTTTAACCCCCTCCCCATAGTTTGTTATGCTAGTAGTAGTCTCTTGGAAAGGAACTGTACTGTGAATGACAGTACAGTTGAGCACAGCAGAGAGTAAGGACGAACTACTAACAAGAGCCAGAGCTACAAATGGGGAATGAATGAGTCTGAGCTTAAATGGCATTTATTATAAAATCTTACATAAATTGTGGATTTATTTGTTAATTGTTTTTTATTGCCTTTGTAGTTTTCTTGGACTGAGAGAGAGAAATACTTTGAAATTGTGATAATTTCTGACAAAACTGTAGTTCTTAATTTAGCAGATAGGTTGATAGCGGATTCTGAATGCCAGCTGAGTACAGCAGTTTAGTGTTTTTACTACAATAGTGTGAGTTGAGTTGCCAGATCATAACTTTGTGGATTGTATTTTTCTGGATACTCAGGAACTTAATATACTGAATAATAGTACTGGCAGGGAGGGGAAGGAGTCTAGTTTAGATCTCTTTTTCACTACATTTAACAGGAGTGCAAGTCAAGGAACAAAAAGTATTCAACATGCTTTGGATAGCAATGAAAACAAAGGTGGATTTTTTTCTTGTTTTTTTTACCAAATCCCTTTGCCAAAGATGGATGGGCCCCTATATGAATCTCGATGTTTCTGTTTCCTTAATGTAGTAAACCATTTCAAAATTTGCTTCTCTATGCTTTCTGTGGTACTTTTTACTTTAGATTTTTTTTCATATATAGGTGGAGAGGTTTCAGTTTCCATGCACCTTTACAAAACTATGCCTTTGTACTGTATCTTCATTTCAGATACTAGCATTTACAGGAGAATTAACTGAGAATGTTCTGTCAAAGACCAGAATATTCTCACAGTTCTGGTGTCTGAAAGACAGAAAGCAGTAAGCGCAACAGATATGGGAGAACCCACTTCTTGCAGTGATTTGTCTCTGAGTAGTGACAGCTGCTGGCTGCCTTTGCTTCATGAGTTTACCACTCAGCAAAAACTATAGTGTTTATAAGAATGCGCGTCACTCCCTTGATTCAGAAGTAGGTAGCAAAATTGGAATAAAACATTCGTACTTACATGTATTTTGTATTCTTACACCTCGGAGACAAAATGCTGGCTTTAAGTAGATATGAGCCATCTTACTAATTTAGTAAAACACTGGTCTAGTAAGAGATTGGGGGTCTACATTTTTTCTTAAAAACCTTGATTTTGCAGTACTGTTTAAACAGTGTTACTCCTTTTGATGTATACATGCATGAAACCTGTGTATTGGCATATGAAGCTTAAAGATTGCAGTTAGCTTGTGCAAAACTCATGGCAGGGGACTTTACTCCTTGAGAGAACCCAGCTGCAATTGTGACTGTGCCAGGAGGGCTCCGTCAAGCTGAGCAGGGATGCTGAAATGTCCCACTTGTCTTTTTCTTGGGTGTTAAGCTTTCACATCAGTGCACAGCTCTTTTCAGCCTTGCTCTCTTTGGCCTGCTGCTAGACGCTGAGTTGCTGCAGTCCTTTCACCAGCTCCTCCCCTTTCTGTGAGCTGCTGACAGATTTATTTCGCCTACTCATTTC